TTATTCTACAATATATACCCCATTGTATGTGTTTTTAAAGCTTTTTTTTAGTGATGGTGATGTTGAAGTCATATGACCATGGTGTAGTTCGTTAGCCTATGTTTATCTTTTTACTTCTGGCAATTGTATTTAAGCTTCAGGTTCATATTAATTTTTTGAAGATTATCATAATGAACAAAACATCGAAGAATAATAAACTTTTCTTGGTGACAGAGCTTATTTTCGGCATCAGTCCAAAAGCCAATTAAACCAGGATGATTCTAATTTCCGGGCTGGCCTAGTACATCACCACTGTAGCGCTCTATTGCACAATTTCATCCATCAATACATGTATTCGATAAATTTTTCCTCTCATGTTGTTGTAGTCAACTGGGTACTATATGCATAAGCAAAGTAGCCTATACAAATTTACTGCAGCAATAGTAAGAGTTATGTTAGCATGCTAGCCGAGCATTAACCTAGACCGTAATATCTAATATCACATCCACATATGTGAGTGGTGTCTATAGTTATCATCTTGAAATGAATATGTTTATTTAGTGTTTTTAATTAAGTTTTATCCAAACATCTTGGCAGTCCACTTATTAAGTCAAAACAAAGATACAGTCACTGTAACTACTTCCAGTTACTGGAAATAAAAAGCCAGGCGTTGTGGCACTGCATTGTGGGATATATTGCACTCCACAGTGCTATACAGTTTTGCAAATGTCATTTGGGTAATCCATGCCATGCAAACAGAAAAATGTGCATGTTGTATAATGTATGCATACTGAAAAAATAGTAAGAGTAGTATGTTAGTATGCTGTTCCAAATACATGATGATTATGTATGTATGTATGTATTTATGTATTTATTTAGAACAAGCTATCATTGCTCCATCATGTTCAACTGAAAAAGACAAATGGCATGTTTGATTTAGAGACAAGATCCCTAAATCCTTGACTCCCCAAATGTCTGACTCCTAAATCTCTGCATATAAACATGAAAGATGAATGTTCTTTGCTAAATGTAGACCAAAGCACGACAGTGAGATATAAGAACAAGGAGGATACATTTTATTGTGTTTTCCTTTAGGACATTGCAAGATACAATGTAAACATAAAAAGGTACAAAAACACAACTTAAAAAAAAGCACAAAACAAAAATGCTGAAAATTAAAAGCTGAAGCTGTAGACCTTTAGATCTGTAAAAGAAATGTATACAAAATGTAGATTTGGCTGAGCGCTGAATAATATCATTGCAAGGCCTTTTCTCAATATGTCCAAAAGCGCACTTTTTAATATTTCTTATGACAAGAGGGGTTTGCAAATATCTAGCCAAACATTCCTTACATCCAATGATCTGTAACAGAAAAACATTGTGGCATATTAATGTAGGCATCTTCACTTCCTGTCTGAGAATTCAACTTGGCTTGAACAATCACTTGAGGAGTACATTGATTAAAAAGTCTTTTTTTTGGAATAATAATGAAGAGTTCAAAGACTGTCCAAGAATACATGCTATACATGTATAGCAGATTATATTTAGAAAATATAAATATATAAAACCCTTACAACCAGTCTGTTAAGTGGGTGCATGATGAAAGCAAACATAAATAAATGGAACTTTCAGAGTGACGCTCATCAAAACATTCTTTTAAGCAAGATGTTACTGGCCTCACATGCTGTTTTTTCGTGACTGTTAATTAAGTGGAGAAGAATGGCAATTAGTGCAGACAGCCAAGCAGAGACAGGGACAGAAAACAGCAAGAGATCAGACCGCCGCAGCATGTTCCCTTTCTGCACTTGTTCGCATCAAAGTGAACACATAAACACACCCTACCGCCTCACACCAAACACTGATGCATCTGATGAAAAATGCTAATTAACACAGAAAAAGATAAATAAAACCTACCAAACTCCTTTCAAGCACTTCATACATCACAGCGAGCACACATACAACTCTCTCCACCATGATCCATGCCTAAAACAGGCCTACTTCCTTATTATCCAGGTAAGGTCGCATACAATATTAGTCAGATTATTACTCATCAAATGTTTCTGTAGAAATATAATTAATCACAGGGTACTTCCTGCACCTTAAATGTTATTATTTTATTTTTTTTTGTAGCTGAGCACAACCATAGATGTGCATAGGTAGATGCCACATTCGACCACTCCAGACACGTCGACGCATCCGCCATCTTGGAATGGTCAATGTGTTGTCACACAATAAAAATCAGTGAGTTTTCCAAGATTCCACAACATTTTGCAGCCTCCAAAATTAAAATTCCTGAAGAAACTGGATAAGCTTTCACAGATACAAATGTGTTGGTTTGTGTTTTTAATATATATATGAACTCAATATTACAGGTTTCTAAACAATAGTAACTAGTCTTAAAGTGGCTAGTCTTATATTGTGTTAGTTTGGCAAAATCTTCTGCTGGAGTCATTTGCAGATATAGATATTCATGTATGCGTATAACTACGGTTGTAGACACTCAGTCAACTTACTCTTGAGTGTTCACGGACCGCCTTTGACCATTCCAGTATGGCGAATGGCTTTCATATAGCGGCCCATAGAAACAGCTACAAATAGGGCATCTACCTATACCTATGAGCACAACTACAAAAATCTGTATTCATCCATGACTTTTCCAGGTTTGAAACTCACAATTTTAAAATTCCCTGATATATCCCAGGTATCCCAAGCCCTGTAAATGACATACGACACAATCAAACATGTACATTCTTTCAACTTTTGTTGTACACCAACACGGCATATAGACGCCTCAGTAAATCAAGCCATTCGCTGACGCAGGAAGCTCAGATGATTCCTCTTGATGACGTTAATACATCTCGACATGCTGTGAGCCATTAGAAACACTATCAATCTATCTCGGCATCTGATCCGAGCCCCCGGCAGCTCGACATCCACAATCAGTGTGACATTTGTATTCACGGTGCTCTTCCCAAGCATCTGTAATTAACCGAGCACTTGGGCAATGTGATTTCACAGCGCGAGTGTACTCCTGACACCGTGGTGGGTGAGCTGGAGACGAGCAGTCCTACTCTTTTACACATTCTGTCAGCAACTTTTTAATTGTTATAAAGCGGTTTGCAGCAGCGGCGAACTGAGGTGGATATCCGTTTGCAAGTTTCTGAACCTCAGCATGTGTACTCAAGCACTAAGGCTTGATGTTTTGAGAAACAATGGCCTTTGGAGACAAGGCTACTCGCTTGAATTCAGTCGCAGCAAGTTTTCCAACAGAAATAACAAGGGTGTTTCTAGAACACTGCGCCTCACCAGTGCTATTATGACAATGCAGTGCCACTGTGACATCATAATGAGCTGCTGCTAGCGGGAAGCTTCTCTGAAGTGCTCATTATCGTAAAAAGCCTTGCTTTTCTTTCCACAGGGAACACTTCATCAAGTCCATTAGAGCGGTTTTATCATGTCGAGCTTTACCTGACTGGATTCCCTTCTATTCAAACATCATAAACAAACATTCCCTCTATAAACCTTCTCTTTCCACCATTTAAAAACTCCTGTTCACAAACCATCGCAGAATACACCAAACAAACAGGAAAAAATGCACCCACAATCTTTTTTTTGTTAAGTAACATTCTTCTGTTCCGATTCAGGAGCTTAAGGGATGCTCCAGATTCAATACTAGGTGTTGTATACTTTGAAAACCAATCTGACAACTAACTATATTAATTTCATTTTTACATTTTTGTACAATCTGGTTACACCCCATTGACGGTTACGTTTAAGGGTGGACCTTCATGCTTTTGTTCTCTAAAATTTGTACATTTCAGTATGAATCACGTTGTATGAATTATACATGTGACCTTCAAATTCACGAAGGTGGACCTTCATGCTAAGATTTTTCTAAAAATTGTATGTTTCCGTATGAATCACATGATACAAATTATTGGATATTTGAATTCCTAATGATGGAGCTTCATGCTTACTTTATCCTGAAAATTCTAAGTTTCTATAAAAATCACATTGTTCGAATTCATGGTAACTTTTTCCTAAAAATCGTATATTTCCATATGAATCAACCACACAAACATTGTACAAATTCATGGACCTTTGAATTCATGAAGGTGGACCTTCATGCTAACTTTTTTTCTACAAATCATATGTTTCCGTACGAATCACACTGTACAAATTTATTGACCTTTGAATTCATGAAGGTGGACCTTCGTGCTAACTTTTTTTCTTACTGTAAAATTGTATGTTTCGGTATGAATTGCATCATACAAATTCATGGATCTTTGAATTTATGTATTATTTTTATTATTTTTTTTATAAAAAACATCTTTCTGCCCTAATGACATTCATACAAAATCACTATACCTCATAAAAATAGTTACATTTTCTCAAGAGATTGGGTTGGTTGAAATTATTTTCAACACCATGTCACAGAACCTGGAACATTCCTGTAAATATATCCAATACATTCTCAAAAAAATCAGAAATCTTAATATCTTAATGTGATCATACAAAAGGTAAACAGAAAAGAAAACACAGCATTAAGCAAGAAACTATAGCAAACCTACACCTGAGAGGGCCTGTTAAATAAGGAAAGGTGAAGACATTTCAACTCTCATAAAAAGCTTCTCTTGAGCAGAAACTCAAAGACAGTCACCCATAACCCTTCTCATTTTCAACCAAAGTGAAATTCTCCACTCTTATATTCAAACTCTCAGTAAAAGCATTTCAATTCAAAGGCGTTGTAAGCTCAGATAATGAATTCAGACAGGAAGAGAAGCAAATATATGCAGTCCTCGTTATTTTAAGGTGTGAAAAGTTAATCCTGGATTTTCAGAATAGACTAAACAAAATTGAAAAAGAAATCCGACAATGATACAGTATGTAAGTCGATTGGGATTTAGGATAAAGCTTGCCATGGTGACAGTGGGATGTAGGGAGCGGATGTGGAGAAGTTGGCAGTGTTGTGCGGCGCTCATATAGCTGCTGATGGATTTGCCCCACAATCTCAAGCCATGGTGACAGTGGGATGTAGGGAGCGGATGTGGAGAAGTTGGCAGTGTGGTGCGGCGCTCATATAGCTGCTGATGGATTTGCCCCACAATCTCAAATTTGCAATTTGACAGGCTGAACTGACAAATGCCTCAGAGAATTAGATATACCCATGCTTCCCTATTATTTACATACTGATTCACCATGGGCTTTGTGAGGTCACTAAACCCCTTAAAGCAAGATGCGGTTCAGTAGGTAAAAAGTATGAATGCAGAAATCGAGTCATGGTTGGCCGGTAGACTGAAGGTGTCCATCTATCAGGGCATTTTAACATTCAGCATAACATATTTGAACACACATTGATATATTTTGAATTGGAGGATTAAAAAAAACAAAAAAACTATGGGACAAAACCAGGCATTATTTGACATAAAATTGTCAGAATTATAAGTAAAAACAAAGCTTTCTTCAATACAATTGTTCTTAACTGGTGAGATGCCTGTTTTTGTATTGCACATTTCCTCATTCCATCTGAGTAATGTCAATAGTGAAAAGGAGAAAGAATAAGAAAAGAAAAAAAACCCGGTAAAACGCAATACTGTTCCTGAAAAAAGCATTAACATTTAAATAAATAAAGAACACATAAAACAAAGCTAGCAGATACACAAGTAATATAAGATAAGAACTAGTCTGACACTTAACAGTTCCCTTGTAAATTGTATAGGCGCGAATGAAGAAAGAGCAAAGTATTATTGGAGCTTAGCAACATCCATCACAAGCGCTGCGTTGTAGTGAGTCGACACATTTCTGTAATGCCATCGTCAAAAAAAAGAGTTGCAATTAAGAGTGCAATGGCTTAATTTTCTTTTTCAAATGTAAAAGTTAAAAACAAAATCACCCAAATTGGAACTTTAAAATCCCATTATTGCTGTTTTTTTAATGATAACATTTATATGAAACACTCAAATCAAATTTGGTCCAGTCACAATTAGGGATCCACATAGAGCCCTGCTGTTTTTAATTATAAAGTGTTATGTCATTTGATCGTTCCCATTTTACTGCTGGCTTTTAATTTGAAGGACTGATTGATTATTATTCAGATTTTTTGTAATGTCTATTTTTTTTTTATTTCTGGGAGTGATATGATGATGTTAAAATGAAATAAAATGATTTTTTGTTTACATAATCTGGCATTATATGTGGATCAATAACGAGAAAGGAAGTGTCCACAGTTGCTAAAGGTGCAGCGATCAGCTTGGTTGAAAATGCATTTCGGATTTTAAAAAATGTATGTGAAAGCATGTTCACACAAGGTGAAAAATGCTCACAAGAATTGTTTTAAAAATCTACTTCCAATTTTAAGACAGTAGGACACTGTCAAAAAGAGACAAAAAAATCATCTTGGTAAAAGCTCAGAATATAGCAGTAGCCAATTACTACAGAACTACCAAGAGTTTCAAGTTTTAAAAGCGAGTGTCAAATGCCAATAAAATTACATCTTAGCAAGACAGTATTAAAAACATTTTTTAAAAACATAAAAAATGATAAATACAACAAAAAATAAATTATGTGCTGATGAAGTACACTGCATCTTTAAACCAGTGCATTCAAAAAAAAAAAGCTCAAATGCATTGATTCACAACAAATGAACGACTTCATTCATCATTATTGTCCATGTGTGATCACACAACAACCAACAAACAAGACAAAATAAACAATTTTCTGCTTAATAGAATATAACTGCAATCTAGCAGGTAATTAATGTTTTAACTGTTTAACAATAAAATACTGTCCAGCAGAAAACTAAATCAAATAAAAGTAGTGCTAAACTCAATTAAGAGCTCACACTATTCATTAGAAAAATATTTCAGCAGTCTTGAACATCAGCTGTTTTATGCTGTTGTTAATGAATATTATTTGATTGAATAAGGGGGAAGTAATCATCATCAAGCTCAGAGATCTATAAAGAAGAGAATGAAAGATTGGACCATGGACTAAGATAAAGTTCGTGAATCTATTTTAATATCTTTGTCAACAGAAAATGAAACACTATTCTTAAATGATAGTAGTTTACACTGCTTATTGTGTAACTTCAGATTCAATACTGCCCAGCAATATCGTAATGTAGAAATTAACTTTGCATATTAATGTGCTTTTCTTTGGGTTAAAAAAAAAATCAAGTGCTTCCAGATATAACAATTAAATATACTTTGTTCTCAGTTCTGAAACCTCGTTTAGGTTTTGCTGAATACACTGTATTTATTTGTACCCATAAAATAAATACTAACTCTAAAACAAACTAGCAATTGTGTCTGTAAATCTTCTTTGGTGTGATCACATTTTGGGCTCAATGTTATGTCACTACTTCCCTGGGATAAAATGCTGAACAAAACAAAAGATTTTCCAGTCCTGATTTCTTGAATTAACAGATTTAGCACACACAGAGCAGCAATATCTAAAGTCCTGTCCTCTGAAGCTGTCTACCCTCCTAATAAAAACAGATGCACTTTGTAAACTGAACTTGGGTTTAAACCCAATAATTAAGTGGGCATGAGGTGATCTATGCATATAGCTTTCACAGACTATTTTCCTTTAACCTGTTTTATTCATTTTGGCCTGTGCATATTTAAAGAATGGGGATGTTAGGATGTTACAAGAAAGCAGAAATACATCTCTAAGGAAGATATAACAAACATTAACACAAAAAAAAAAAAAAAAAAAGGATACGTTTTTAAAAAATGACAAAGTTATGCTTTGTTTCTTTGAGCGCACTCAGTGCTAAGATAACAATTGATGTTGGTTTTTTGTTCAAAATGTTTTTACAGGAATTTCTTGTTTCATGTGCTTAAGATTGGATTTGCACTTTTTCTTATGCACCTATGATGAAATTATCTTTTTCACTTATCAATGTTGTAACAAAAATAAGTTTGTTGCTTTCTGTACTTGTAGGCCTATGGCACTAAGTTGAAATTTGGTATTTTCGTTGCTTCACTGGCATTTGACCGATTCCTCTTAACATTCAGTGAAAGATGTACGAAGGCACCCATTTGGCATAAAGTTATGGCAGGTATTTTGCTAAACATTCACCTGCATTACTCTAGTTTTACTGTAAACTCCTTTCTAAAAGGCTCTGTCTCTCTCGTTTCAAACCAAAAGTCCTTCAGTCAGTTCGTCTTTTTACATTTTGATTACAATTGTGCATGTTTAAACCATTTTTGGGGAATTACTTTTTTCTCTCCAGGTAGTTAGACGGTACCCAGCCTTTACGTCCCTGTAAGCCATCGAGAACCTGGCAGTACCACCATCCATTTGGATTCTTCTCCAGAACTTCAAGACTAGTGCCCTCTGAGAAACCCATGGTCTCTTCATCGCCACGGTAATCAGCAATAGATACGTAAACCTCTCGAAGGTTGTTGTGAATGAGGTGCGTCTTCTCGATGGGCTTGGGTCTCACTGTAGAGATTGGAATTCCGTTTCTCTGGGCAATCAAGGGGCTTGAACTTCCGGCGGGTGCTGTAATGGTGGTCCCAGACCTGACCCGTACATCGGTCACCGGCTGCAGTCGCACGGCAGTGAAGGAGGAGTTTCGCCTTACGCCGCCTGTGGATCTGAAGTGGTCGCCTGCACCCAGTGATTCATTTCTTCTCAAAGACCCTGTATGGATGTTGGTGTCCTTCAGAGGCTGTGGTGGAGACACAAACACTGACTGCGGTCGCACTGCTGCCTGACGGACACCGTTACGCATCTGTACGCCTGAACCGTTCAGCATTGGGTTTGGTTTGCTAAAACCCCCTGGTGGTTTGGATGGGATTGGTGGGCTAGGATTGTTCATACTCCTCAGGTTCTGCTGGTTTAGGTTGTTGAGGGCCTGAACACGCTGCTCATTTTTCTCTAGGCTGTTGGACTTGTTGGTGCTACCAAGATCAACAAGAGGGCCATCACGGGATTCTTGTACACCGACGTCATGGGTATGCTTGACTGGCTCCAAATAGAAAGTAGGTGCCCATCCCTCATCATCTCCCCAACGGACATACCACCATCCACTTTCCTGCTTCTCCAATACCTCAACCTCCACACCAGCTGCGAAGCTAACCTCTGACTCTTGGGCCCGTTCGTAGGCATCTGTGGTCCTGTAGAGCACACTTTCATGGTCGGATTCCCCACCTCGGCTACCTTTGGAATAGACGCTGGAGAGATCGGAGGTACTTCTTGAGGAGATGGAATCCTCAGAGGACACAACAGAAGCAGTCTCGGAATCTTCACCGCCACGTACTGCACGGACTGCACCCTGCCGAAGACTTCCGGTGGGCCGAAGCTGGCGGCGTAGGCTGCTGATGTCCATTCTTTCGGGACTTTGGGGCTCTGACTTTGTAAACAGAGGTTTGGGTCGCACCACTGGTTTGGGCCTGGCTAAGGGACTTTGACCAACCCTAATCTCTACATCTTTTCGCATGACAGGCTCTCTTTTGGGATTGCGTCCTGATTTGTCTGATGATAATTTGGGGCTGTGTCTCTCAGCACGGCCAAGAGAGTGACTCCGGCTTAGATCCGGCGATACCTTCCGGAGGGGCTTCCCTCCTGCAGAGGAGGACCCGAAGGGTTTACGACCCAATGTGAGACTCCTTGGGGTATCTGAATTGCAACCACTGGCAAAATCATCAGATGAGAACCTAAAGCCTTCATTTTCATAAATCACCTCCTCCTTATTGACATTCTCCAATGAGTTTCTTTTCCTCAAGGGGGAGGTCATCACTTTTAGTAAAGGCGATGCTTTGCCAGCCTGTGCAATCCTTTCGGCAGCTGCTGGATTGCTTTTAATTTCAAACTTACGGGGCTCTGGTTTCGAGGAATTATTTGTTTTTTGTTTTGGAGGATTGCTATCCAGATCGGAGTCAAAACCAATGGCGGGAACATCATATTCTGGCTCCTCATAGACATGCTGAGTGGGGGATTCTGGAGCTTTGGAAGCGGAGCCAGCTAGAGAAGGTGATTCCTCTGAGTCTGGTTTCTTGACTGGTGGAGCAGGGGGTGGAACTTTAGGGCGGGTAAGTGTGCTGGTCCGCCGGCTCAGGTTGGGCTTCTTGCGTTTATCAATAAAGGAACAGGGTGCCCAGCCCTCCATATCCCCGATCTGGACATACCACCAACCACTAGAATTCTTCTCTATGACCTGAAGACCACATATTACATATTTACATAATACAATGGCATATTTTTATTATAAAGTGGGTTTCAAACATCTAAGACCACTAATGGAAATGCTTATCTTACACTAAATGTAACAAAATTGTTTGCATTTTTTAATAAAATATGAATTAAAAAAACTTAAATAATCCTAAATATTTTTCTTCAGAAATCAATTTCAATCCTGAAAATTTGTTTTTATTAAGGTTTAAATAAATAAATACTATAGTTATGTATATATAGTATGTACTATAATGTACTATAGTTAATGCAGTCTGAGACTTTTTGACTCCACTGTATATTTATAATTTTTAATATTTTCATTAGTCAAAAGATGTTCATATTTAGTTTTTGAAAAATAAAATAATCACTTATTATAGTAGGAATAAATCTGCCTTACATCAGCCTTTTGTCCTCCACGGAAGCTGATGCCATCTGAGATACTGGATTGAAACTCTGCTATGGTGTAGTACTCCGCTTCCACAGTAGGGGCCTCTGGAGGTTTGGGCAACTGGAATGCCTTGAGTATTGAAGAAAAGGACAGTACTGTCTAATAAGTAAATGCTGCTCTCTATGAATTTGAAATAATAATAAATGATTTTGGTCCGCTTAACTTACCAGATTTGTATCTCTTCGAGGAGGAGGTTTCTGTCTGAGGTTTGGAGATCCTGCCAGTTGAATACAAAACATGTTATTAACTGTCTCTCAGCTCAATACAGCAAATATTAATGTAGCTTAATCAAATTTAGGACTTGGAAATTAGGAAAGTTCACAGTTTTCCTTTCGCCAACAAATTTTTTGCATTTTCAACAACAACAACAACAAAAAAAATGGATCCAAACTGGATTACAGTGCCATCAGTAACCCTCATTATGAGAGAGAAGTTTAGAGACATGTTCCAATACACTCAAGCATGCGTTCACAACAAGCCTATTTTTAGAAAAAAATCTCAGAAGGAAATATTGTAGTGAGACATAAACTGCAGTCACATCAGTCACTGCAAGTTTTAAGCAAAACCAGGATTTCTGGGGATTGTGTGGCGTCTGTTAAGAACCTGTTAAGGTGGAATAATAGTGTGTGAATTGTAGCATCCGCGACAAAACAGATTTACAAGAATGAAAGTCATGTAACATGAGCAATACAGCACTAAGAGATTTTTTTCAGCTGTACAGTGTACATTAGGCATTAGAGAAATAAGTAAGCAAAAGAACAAACAAATAGCAAACAAACAGCAGTTGACAGGCTGAATGCTGAGCAACAGAGACAGTGAATGTGTCACTATCAAGGTACACAACACCCTGAAATGTTACCTATGGCATCAAATCCTATGTGCAAAAATAACAGGAACACAAACATACTTATTATATAAAATATGGCTATATAATTATAAAATTATATAGAAAAATATTGATAATATATTTAGTTGAATATAAAATATATAGTTTTTTTTTTGTTAGAAAATAATATAATAAAATTGTACTATAATTACTACAGCAACTCAGGTGTATTTTTTAAAGTGAATACTTACATTCTATTCTATTCTATTCTATTCTGAACATGTGATTGCAGTATACATCTAGTTAAACATGTCATAACCCAACTGTTTACTCACCTATCTCAACTCTGTGTGGTGCCACCCGGGCTATGGCAGGTGACCCCGGCTCTGCCCTGCTCTTGTTTTCCTGTAGGGCGGTGCTAGATCCAGAGTTCATTCCCAAACCAGTGACTACTGTGGGTGCCACTCCAGCCTCTGGGGCATATTGGATAGGCAAACTGATTTCACTTTTGGAGATGTGGCGCTCAGGGCTAGTGTCCTCTCCGTCAGTTTGAATGTCCTTCTCGCTTACAGCCTTCTTGTTGAGGAGGTTACTGATCTCCATTATGTTTCCGATGATCTCCACGGGGCCAGTCAGAGTCTTCTTCCTTGGGGAAAGGTCATCTTTCAGTTGTTTCAGGTATGAGGCTGGGGCCCAGCCTTCTTTACCCTGATACCTGCAACACATTAGTAGCAGTATAGTAAATAAATAATAAATACTATTCAATTGTATAACTACATGCATTTACCATTCTCATACTGGCCACTAGAGGTCAGCATAATGTTTTAAGTAAGATGTCGTAGTGCTCTTTATGGACACATATCTCCCCTGATGTAAAACTGATGTCACATACACACTGATAATTGATAATTAATGTATACATACACACACACACACACACACACACACACACACTACATGTAAATCATTTTTAAATTTCCGTAACATACCACCTTAAAGTTTGAGGTCCAGATTGATTACCTGATGTACCACCATCCCTCCAGGTTCTTCTGGATGACCTCCACGGTTGCTCCTTTCTCGAACCCAATCTCATCCTTTCCCTGACTGGTATACGGCTGGACAGTGACATATTTCTCCTCTAAAAATACAGATTAGAGAAAAAGAATGAGAAAGGATTTTTTTTCTCTTGTATTTGGGCCTTTGCCTTTTCTGCGGTCTGGAAGAGGTTGACAAATGGTTTCAACTGCTAACTTTCAAACTTACAAATTTTAGGACTTTCTTTGGGAAAACAGAGCAGAAGTAAAACCGCAAAGTTTGCAGTAAGACCCTTCCAACACTCACCCTTCACCACAGGCACAATAACACAATCATCTCACAAAACGTCATTAATATTAACATGAACAAAACCTCCAGGAGACAGTGGGACTAATGTAACCAGAGCAATACAACCCAAGACACAATAATAATGGTGGAACTCCATAGGAAATACCTCGCAGGGTCAATCAATCACAAACATGTCCAGATCCAGGCCAATATTTTGCATTTGCACTAATTATATTTTAATTATAATTTGCATTATGAATGTGAAGCCTTTTCTCCTTTAGCACTGTGACATTATAATGACAATTTCCCTCCATGATTTCCCCCAAAATACAATTACCGTAATGCATCTGGACATTTCAATTCTTCAACTTTTTTTTTTAAATCAGCATATATTAAAGGTATGACAACAAATACTACCATGATAAATAATAATAAAAAAAGAAAAAAAAATTAACAAATTTTTTACAATTACAAGTTGAGAATAATATTACTATTATGTATTTATTTATTACAGTAAAGAGAATCAGATGGTTTTGTGCAATACGATAATGAGAAATTAGGAAGAAAATATGTTTAATTATCATGAAAATAATGTTACAATGCAAAACAATATGTGTTTAATCATTCAGCCTCCTGAGATCCTATAAAGCATTTCTCTTCCCAAAAAGCTCACATAAAACATCATTCAGTATTGTTGCATATGACGTAACTATGTTTAACATCTACATATCAAACTCTGATGTCTTTTCCTTTGTGACTATAGCTTACAGTCTGCTCAGAGTAATACTATAAATTTAGATTTAGTGGAACAGCAAAGGAGAAATAAAAAATAGTGCTGATAAAAGATATATTAATAGTGGGAGAAGTGTTGAAACAGAAAAAACGACAGAAAAAGAGATGAATATCCTATATCTAGTTTTTCTAAGCAGTGAATAACTTAGTCTGCCAACAACAGATGACATGAGGTCAGGGCAGTTAGTCACTCCCTTTCAAGACTTAATGCTTTCCCAGCAGCAGACAAGCTGGGAAATCTGATAATTGAACATATGACAGAGAAGAAACTTCCCCTTTCCCGTTCTCATCCTGAACTTCTGACCTAAAATCAACAATAAACTTAAGTTTTTAAACATAAGATTTTGAAGAACTGATCACAGGCATCTCCTTTTGAGTTCCACAGAAGAAAGTCATAGTGTGGATAGATAAAGACAAACAGGAGTGAGAGATGTCAGGGTACAAATGTAAGAGCCAAAAGAAAAAAAAAAAAAGAAAGAATTGCCTCAAAAACACATTTTCCACCAGTCAGCAGTATTTTCATGGAGGACTATTCTGGATGGTGGAAAAAGTCAGGTGGGTCCAGAACACATGACTTCAGTTTTGCATGCACTTGTGGAGCACGTGCCAACAAAGGCATTTTCTCCCTCAGCCTCTGTGACCTAAAAACCACGGCGATATGTTCCAAATAGTTAAGAGAGCGAGAGATCACAGACACAGATCATTCTAGCTATTATATTGATCTTTCCGAAACTTGCTTGCTTTATTTCATGCAAGCTAACCAAATGCCTTACTGGATCCTGCAGGCTCTGTCTAAATCTGAGCTGTTCCCGCTGCTGATTTCTACGCTTTCTTAACACTTCACCCAAAAATGAAAATTCTTCATTTACTCACCCTTTTATCTTTCTGAACCCTTGACAACTGTCATTTTTCCATATAACAGAAAAGGAGAAGTTTAGAAAAAAATGCTGATGTTGCTGATTGAAAGTGAATGGAGACCATGTTATTTCAAGCTCCAAAAATGACAAAAAAGGACAATGCAACTTTTTGTGCTATATTCCCAGTGTACTTCAGCCATACGATAATACTGCCTGAGGAAAAGACAGAAATTTAAGTCATTATCTACTTATAAAATATTCAACATCATGACTTTGATGGTGCTTTCATGGTGTATTTTTGTTATTTCTGGAGCTTCACAGCTCCTGGTCCCCATTCACTTTATGGAAAAGAGCAATATTGCCTAACATCTCTTTCTGTGGAATATGGAAGCGCAATACCTAAAAATGAAAAATGAAATAATACTGGTTTGGAGCATTAGGGTGAGTAAACGACAGAATTTTCATCAAGACTCAAATGTATTTTGTAAGAACTTGCTTAGTTGCAACTGAGGATCCAATGGCTCTGCAGTTTTGAAATCATTGCGTTACAAAATTTGTTGTTTTATCCAAGATCATTAGTGTCTTTCAAGCAACCTCTCTGAATCAGTCACTACCTCTGACCTGTTTTGAAGGTTGCAATTTGTGTTTATGGAGAAACGTTCCCTCTGAAACCACTGGCTGCTCTTTGTCTCCGGATCATCCGTGGTGCTCTCCGACTCATAAGTATGTATACAGTAAAAAAAATAACAGGATTAAATGCAGTCACACACAGCGAGCCAATGACCTACTTCCACACTTTCCACTGTGAGTTTCCAACAACTTCTATGATGCAGAACAAAGTAAGGGAAAATAATGAGGAAAAGGCAGCCACAGAGTTACTGTAACAGTGTCACATTCAATCTGAAACCAGATTTTTTCTCCAAATCTACACGAGTCCCTATCAAAAGAGAAGAGAAAAACAATCCATGTAAAATTTGACCACGATTTCATCCAAAATACCAGTTAACAGGGTTATTAGTGGTGGTGGTTTCTGAAGGACAGACATCTGAACAGACTTATTAAACTTAACATAACTCATCCCATAAGATCAGGGATTTCATATTTTCACCCAGTCCCATTCATCCACCTGCCAACACAGCATGGAAAAGCTCTTAGCATGTGCTTCCACCAATTCCAGATCCAGCATGCTCTAGCGCCATGTTCATGGTGTCCATAGCATGTTAGCACACTCCAAGAGTACACAGACGGAAAACTGCGGGAATTACAACTCTAAAGCTTGGAGGTCCATTCCATGACTCAACATGAAACGGCGGATCTCCAAGGAGACTCCTCACCATACAAACACACATTTCCACCAAAGGTCTAGACATTAATCCTCATTTGAGGTCTGGGTGTTTAGAATCAAACACTGTGATTTTGAAAAAGGTCAAACCTCATGCATGATTCAACTCATCCTCTACCTCGAGTTTAGAGTTTATGCACTGTTTATATCAATTATTTGACATGTAGCCAAACTGCAGGATGCCAGATCTGACTAAATTCAGCTGAATTCAGCATTCCGAATTCAACATTATTCTATCTTTGGCAGAACACCAACAAAGATTTTAAATAATGTTTCTGTCTATTCAATGGAAGTCAACGGGGGTCCAAACAACATGGGTCCTCATTGACTTCTGTTGTATTGACAAAAACATTCTTCAAAATTTTGCTGGTGCTCTGAATGCCATTCGGGTTTAGAATGGCATGAGGGAGACATCCTGACCGAATTTTGATTTTTGGGTGAACTATCTCTTTAAATTGTCTTAACTGGCAAAAGTTACTTGGTCAGTAGGCTTTAGAATAAAAGTATAAAGATCAAGCTGGCTGACCATCATTTCTGGTCCACCAGCTAAACCAGTACCAAATCAGTACTAACTAGCATAAACCAGACTTAAGAACAAGATTCTGGAACTCTGTACTCTAATGCCATACATGACATTTCTAATCTAGATATCAGACTACAATATTTCACAATTACTATATTCTTCTAAACCAGTCATCTTAAAAAGAACTAATTGGCTTCATTTTAAAACCGTTTTCTTCATCTAAAAACACACTTAATGATCTCCTTTTACATTCATGCACATATAATCACAAGCAGAGACATAAAGCAAAGTATAATAAAGATTTTATGATTGCTTGCATATGAAACAGGCCACCCAGCATGCTTTGGGAGCCAGATCCTGAAGTTGGATCCAGAAAGAGAGTGTGCGTTTTGAAGCTAATCACTGTGTAAACCTGCACAAACACACAAACGCACCATGCAGATTGGTCACACACGTGAGTGCTTGCATGTGATCAGTCTATGCAGGCATGCGTGATTGCATGTGTGTTCACCTCGACTCTGTTGGCGGTTGACTATTCCCCCTAGCGTCCATCTCCGGTCAAGCCTCTTCAGATGAGCCTTACGTCTCTTAGTAACTGACACGGATGAATGAAGACAGCGGAAAGAGAACAGAGACATGACAAACTCAACATAAACAACTCAAGAGGAACACTGGTATTAGTGTAATGAAGACATTATTACATTAAAGAAAAGAGTTTTGTGATTGGTTAGGAGGGGGTTCTTGGCTTGAACAATGATGGCAAAGCAAAGGAGGACTTGGATTAATACACGTGTTATTAGATTTTAGTGGCGCACGTTAAACTGTGTGATGGTAAAGTCTAAAAAATGTATGGTGTTTTTAATTTTTATTGTGTTACAGAATGGAAACTTCATATACAGTATTTTACAAAGGTTTTACCACTTATCAACTCCATAGATTAAAAAAACTAAAAAAAAGTCGAACTAAAGATGGTCTAGTTCAAATAAAGTTCAGCCTGAAAAAAAAAAACTGCAGCTACATCCAGAAATGAAGCCGTTGTGGCCACACGGGAAGGTAAATTACCCCTTGGGGATCAATAAATTGTGTGCATGTGTGAGGATGTATCGATCTATCTCAGACAAAGATAGTGGCGAAAGCTTTATCTCCTAATCTTACACATTGAGTCTTTCAGCGGCATACATTTCAAGATGCAGCTAAAAATGTTGTTGGCTGAGACAGGAAACTCAACCCAGGAAATGCTGATGGCAGCAGATGATAGAAGACATTAGAGGAGGACATATTTATAATGCGACGGTTCTTTATGTGTGTTTAATAATGTGAAATAAATGGGTGTTAAACTTCTGACAATTTATGTTCCAAGAGTTGATTTTACTGAAGTTGACATGAATGTAAATTCACCATATCTATTTTGCAAATACATGTTATGGATCTTATGGTGAATGATGCAACCATGTAAAATGTTTCTTTCATTTCATTGATTGATTCATTCAATGATTTGAAAAATTTGAGTGCAAATTATACAAACAGAGAGAAAATAGTGTTTAATTTTGTGTGTTTATGATATATAAAATGCTAGCTATGAAGCAGGCCATTTTATTATGAAATGTTTAAGACCACTGTAATTTTAACCATTTAATGCTAAGAAATACAATACTAAAACTTGGTGGGAATTTTCATTAAATAAATAAATACTTTTAGAAAAAACTAACAAATTAATTAATTAAAAGACTCACACAAATAAATAAATACTGTCAGAAAAAAGCAAGCAACTAAATTAGTTAATACAAAATTCTAATAAATAAATAGATTTCTATCTAAAGTTCACAGGGCCAAAAGTTCCCATAGTTGAAGAAGCACCCAGATTCAATGTGGTGTTCAGATATGCCACACTATTATTTATTATGTATAGATTCAAAGAAATAATAACCACACTTTCATTAAGGAGAAGAGAGCCTTCCTTCTTTCCTTCATTTCTCCTTCTGCAATCGATGATCTCTCACAATCCCAAAGCCCTCACCTCTTTCTCATAAACAAGTGGAAGTTGCTCAAGGAATATTTGGGATATAATATCCATTATGGATATTTCGGGTCCTGGGTGTTGATTGTTCAGTGAATGTGAAACAGATCACCTTATACTTGTGTTCAACTGGTCAAGATTTCTTGGGGTATAAGAGTGTTTGTGCATATGTTCAAAAGGAAAGTATGAGAGAGAGTATATTTAGTGTGTCCTACCTTCTCCAGATCTAGATGTTCCCAGGTCCAGATCATCTCTGGTGCCGCTCTGAGAGTCCAGGTATGTGGCAGGAACCCAGCCTTGTTCTTCAGCTGTGCTGACAAACCACCAGCCTACAGACACAACAGAAAAAAAAAAAACATAAAATATTTTTTTTTTACCTAATACAGTGTCAAATACTGAGCTCTAATGATCCTGTTTTAACCACCCGGATAGAAAGACTATATTTACAAAAATAAAATGATGCCTCCATGCTTTGCAAACAAACACTAATGCACAAACATTTGGTTTTCACTAATCTGATGGGAGGCAATGTTTTGGCTCCAGTCATGCTCACAAACACACTCTCTCTGGTGTTATTTAGTTTCAGGCGATGTGTTTATGAATTCTGTGCACTTCCTGTGTACCATTTGCGATCAATTAGACCTGACACTATCATAAATATCAAAACGGGTGGACATGGTTTTATTTGTATGCACAGTCCAGCTTGAGGAAGGTTGGATGTGTCTGACATCTTCTTAGCAGCTAACATGATATGTTTTATGAGCTAATATGTGTGTGCTTGTGTGTTTTGGGCCAAAATAACCTCATCAGTTAAATTGATGTCTTTCGGTTCCTCCTTCATGTGTCTGAATAAGTGCTGAATTTGTTAAATGTAGTGTCAGCAGCACTATGATTTGTTTTTGAAATGTGGATTATGATGTTTCTTCACATTTCCACTATAACTCAAAGATGAGTTTTAGAAACAAAGCAGCAAAAAAGATTGACAAAGAAAATTAGTGATATACCAAGAGAGGCCCATACAACGTTCATGAGAAGTTCATCTGGGTAAATCATTTGGGTTATGGAATTAAAATCATATATTTGGCACACTCACATAAAAATGTAAAGCCGACATAAGTGAACGCCAATGGATGAAAATTCAAAACGGTTCTCCAGCTGAAACACAGATCCTTCTGAGCCTGTTGCCAAGGTAACAGAGTATTGCTGGCAAGCTGTTCATAACAGTGTGATGTCATCAGTCAGCAATAATCCAACTCTGACATCATAATAATACAGAAGCAGGTCTTTTGATAGAGCACTAAGTGATTAACACCAAATGTTCTAAACACCAACGTGGGCCAATTATGATGTCAGAATACTATACACTCCAGAATACATTTATTCACCCACATCATACACCTCAAACGTGTGTAAAAACCATGTTTATGTGGTCTCAAGACCACAAGATAAATACTTCAACTTTGGTATTACCATAATATTAAAAACAAAACTACATCCAAATTTATCCAGAAAATTGGCCTCAGATCTCAATTGAAAGTTTTTATTTATTAATTAAATAATTAATATATTTAATATATTTAATATTTAATTAAAAAAAAGAATACTTTTATTCAACAACAATGCATTAAACTAAACTAAAGTTAAAGACATTTACAATGTTACAAAAAATTTCCAGTTAAAATAAACATTCTATTCAACAAAGAATCTTGAAAAAGATGTTTACGGTTTCCACAAAATATTACACAAAAGTGATTCTTGATATATTAGAATGACTTCTGAAGGATCATGTGACACTGAAGACTGGAGTAATGATGCTGAAAATTCAGCTTTGCATCACAGGAATAAATAACATTTGAAAATATATTTAAATAAAAAACAGTTACCGTAAACTGTGTTAATATTTCACAATATTTCTGTTTTTACTGTATTGTTGATCAAACAAATGCAGCCTTCGTGAGCATACGAGACTTCTTTCAAAAACATGAATGTACATTTTAAACTCCAAAGAAACGCTGACTCTCATTTTAAAAAGCTAAATGGTGATGCCAGTAGTTGGAAGAGAGATGGAAATCAAACACAGAGATCAGAAAACTAGTGCTACATCTACTTCAGTGTGCCAACAGATCAGAACAGTGCTTACATACAGAAATCATAAGATTAATTTGAGTCAAATAGACCACACTGACATCTATACTACCCTGACACAGCAAATCTCTCTCTCCCTCTCTCTCTCTCTCTTTCTCTCACACACACACACGCACGCACGCACGCACACACACACACACACACACACACAAGTAGTATGAATAGCATACGAGACTTCTTTCAAAAACATGAATGTACATTTTAAACTCCAAAGAAACGCTGACTCTCATTTTAAAAAGCTAAATGGTGATGCCAGTAGTTGGAAGAGAGATGGAAATCAAACACAGAGATCAGAAAACTAGTGCTACATCTACTTCAGTGTGCCAACAGATCAGAACAGTGCTTACATACAGAAATCATAAGATACATTTGAGCCAAATAGACCACACTGACATCTATACCACCCTGACACAGCAAATCTCTCTCACAAATGCACGCACACACACAAATAGTATGAATTTGCTAATGAATTTGTGAGAGAGCTGAGAGCAGGTTGTGGCCACCCTGCCTGACTGACCCTCTTTGAATGAGATACTGTCTGTTTGTGAACACCAGGAACCGTCTACGGCAAGCACAGAGGGTCAATTCAAACAAAATGCAAGATGGCAAGGGTTGCACACAGTTTAGCCATCACAAAGATGCTTTCATTGGATTCAAGGCTTGTGTTTGTTTTTCTGTTTGCGTATATGCTATAGGTGTGTTTCATCCAGCTTCAGTACAACCTTTGAGGAGCAAATTCATTAAAAGCTAAAAAAAAGAAAAAATGAATAGTACTTTTAAGAAATTTGTTTAAAATGATGTTTACACACATACTATAAGATGAAGCCTCTAGTCTTATGTCTAGCCTAGCCTGCATCCACACCAACAGGTGTCAGTATACGTCCAAAACAGTGTAAACAAAACAGACAATATAAAATGTACTCAGTGCATCTTTAAAGACAAACTTTCAAAGACATTTAAGGGTATTTCAAATACTGGACCTCCAATCAAGCAATCATCAATATGAACAGTCAGAAGAACTGACTCTGATCTGAGTTCAGCTGGGAGCTCAGATGAATTCTATGTGTTATGCCTGCCAAGTTTCAAAGCTAAACTCTTGCTTAACAGAGCAGAAACAAATTCTTTCACCAAAACAAAAGGCACACAAAGTGCAAGACAGACAGCTGGAATGCTTCTTTGATGCTGAAACGATGTACTCCTCTGAATTCCTCTGTGGTTCAGGACGTTACGATCATCTCACACAAAAACAGACAACAGAAGCCTTTCTGCTGAGATACAGGTGGGCTTGCTCTTCAAAGCAAAAGATCTAGGCTTTTCTGAGAAAGATGGGGTTTCTGCAAAACAGACTAATAAATCTTAGACTGTGTATCTGCTTCTGAGAAATGTTTCTTCTGAACGCTGCATGCGTGTGCCATGAACTTTGCACTGATACACATGGTAGGGCAGTAGGCCATGTGAGCTTTTGTTTATGTACACGGTTAGATAAGATTTGGTTTTGATGTTAAAATTCTTTCTCCTATTCCAGTTTAATATGCAGATGTATTGGCACTATCAAAACCATTCTTGTGTTTAAGCAATTCAACATGTCAGCTACTGGCTCAGCCAATGGTAAGAGAGGATGTTGTGTACATTCACCTTTGTATTGAATAGAGCAATGTGAGCATTGTTCAAAACATGTCCTTTTGTGTCCAATGGAAGAAAGAATAACATATGGGTTTGCACTGACAAAAGGGTTCAGTGTAACTAAAAATTGATTATTTCACCTGATATTCGTGTGTATATACACTATTATCAAAACAATGCATTCAACAATGCATTCAACATGTCAACTACTGGCTGAACCAATGGTATGAGTTTTGGATCACCTCTTCGGTTGAAGAATTGAAGGCCAGTTTAAAAACAATCATAATTTATGCAATTCCCTTTGCTGTCACTAGGAGCACAGAAACAGCAGACATCAGCAATCGCAAATGAATGAAAGAAGAAATAAAAGAATGAAAGGAAGAACAAACAAATGCGAGGAAAAAAAAGAACTGATGAAAGAACAAACAAAAAAGCATGAAAGAACAAACGCAATACATAAGAATGAATGAGCAGACAAAAAAGAAAAAAAACAAAATAAATGCACTAAAGGTATAAAAAAGAAAAAAGGACATATGAATGTACTTGACAACTGACAAAAAGACAAAACGGAAAGAAAGAAAGAAAACGCATGATGTCACTAGGTGAATTTTACATATTTCCTCTCCTTCTGACTGTTTTTATTTTCTTATGAGGTTCATGAAATGCCTTGCCACAGCTGTTCAGTCAACTCAGCTCGCTTTTACTCACTTTTCACACACTCCGCTGTTTTTGATTGTTTTGTTTAGCTTTAAGTTTGACAGTCTTTCAACAAAGACATCAGCATCTACTGTAATACACTAAAGGCCTGAAAATGAAAGCTTGATTATGATGTCATAATGCCCACAGGCAGGGCCGTAACCACCAACAATCCCAACATTAATAGGTTTCAGACATACCCCCCCCCCAGTCTAAAATATTTTGGCATATCCTGCTCAAAGACACTTTTTGATTTGAGCTCATGTGTGATATAATTTTGATGTTCAGCTCTGATCATCCAAAAATACAGCTGAATTAAACTAAAATGAATGAGAGGAAAGTAAAGGCAAGAACCGAGAGCGGCTGAACAAAAAAAGACAAAGACAAAAGAGAGAGTGAACAGATGTTTGGCCTGAACTTCAAAGTTGAAATTTTCACCACACATTCCCTCCATTCGCACCAGCTAGAAAAAAAAAGAAAAAAAAAGACAAGCAAAAATACATGTGCCTTTCACTTTCTTATTTTGGAGCTGAAGTAGCAAACAAAAATTAAAACATAAAACAGAAACAATGTATGAAAACATTACAATATATCATAGAACACATTATGAAAGTTGTTGTATATAGATGAGTTACAGAGAGCGAGAGAGAGCAGAATCATTCTTGACAGAAGAACTTCACTTTGAACTATGGCAGCCAAACTCTGCCTCTTAAAAAATATTCTGCAATTATTTACTTCACAAAATTATTAACTTTACAAAGACTTTATACAATTGTTATAAAGTTATTTTAAGTTGTTATTCCCTAAAAATTCATCCACAATTTATTAAATTAAGAAATTAATATGCTGTCCTTTTGAACCTTCT